CTCCGTTCTCTCTGCCTGTGGGCAAAAGGCCACCAAGGGCCCCCTTTGATTAGGGTCTGGAAAGGACGCCTCTGTCTTCCGCCAAGAAAAGGGGGCTTCATCAGCAGGCCAGCACGTTATCTAGGTAAGTCTTCACATTATGCAAAGGATTTCATTATGCAGATCACACTTGGAAAATTGCATGCATGGAAACACACAAGCACACAATAAACAGCAAGTCAGAAACCAAAAGCATGAAGCTGACTAAACTTAAGACTTTGGAATGGTACAATTGTCTCAGTCTTGTAACAGGAATTCTTACACGGATTTGAGATTTCTGGATTGGGGTTTGTGTTAAGTCTTTTAATTTGCCCGAGACCCTCAACTGCTTTTACACTCATCTTTAAGGTAAGACTGCTCAAAGAGCCCTGGTTTCTCTTCTGGGAGGCCTTCTCTTCCACCCCACACCCCACAAACATCTCCCCCAAGAATTCTCTCCTGCGGGGGAGTGGTGGGGAAATGCATCCTCTCTGCTTCCAAAGCATGAAAGCACGGCCCCGCTCCAGGGCCATCATGCCAGTTGAGGAGACAGGCCGGACATCGGCTGCTTACCCCATCCACTCACCCACCGCAGGACCACCGTCCAAAGCTGCTCCAACCAACCGGCTTTCGTATACAAAACAGAAGGAAAAGATTTTTAACCTCCAACCAAGAGGGTGCAGCCAAAAGCCAATCCCAGAGCCCTGCCTCCTTCGAGCCCTCCCTGTGCAGACTCCAGACATTGCCACAGGGCTACAGCTCATGTGCCTTGACTTAGGCCTGGCTGAGAAAGAAGCAGCAGCTGCTTGTTTGTAGGACCCCAGAGGTGCCAGACTACGACTCTCATCACCGTTTTCAATTAACCTAAATGACTGGCAGTTAGTCTGCATCTTCTCCCAAGAAGAGGTTGAAGAGAAGGAAAAGTAATTCTAATGCAAGAGATGACTTGATTTAAAACACTCACTTTCCAGAAAGACTGTGATTAAAAGAAGCCAGAAAGCACATCTAAACTCAAGAGAATCAAGCTTAATCTGGGGTTAAATACTAACTCTACATAACAGCTCTAAGTAAGAGCTTAGAAATACTCTTGCATGCTCCATCTTGTTTCCTAATCGAGGTTTTAAAAATCCCCAATAACCTCTATTTCCAATGAAATGGTGAGTGGTGGAGTCCCAAGTCCCGTAACAAAGACTCGCCTCTGGTTGTCCTGTGCACAGAGTAACATTCTTGGCCAGAGGCGGCAAGGAGCAGGGGACCGATTCTTCAGAAGGCCTCTCCAAACCAGATGAAGACCACTAAGCAACCCTGAAGGATACCTAGCCCTACTTCATTGGAGAGGAGAGCTTCTAATTTATGGCATATCTTTCACGGTGTTCAAGTGATTACACAGAGCGCCAGATGAAGCTCACACTCAACAATACAATGTTACAAAGAGAGATAAGGTTTTTTTTCAAAAAAGAGTCCTAACAATGGAGAGCCAATAGACTTAGGGCAAAAACCGGTTTCCTATTCAAGGAAACAACTCAAGGACATAAAGTTTGGGGAAATGTTTGAGGACTGTTGCCCTCAGAATGTTCTCTGTTTCCACAGAATGCTGCCTTGCTTTTAAGAGATTGAAGAACTCTACATACCTGTTTCTGGCTGGCAAAAGGTATACTGGCTGCTGGAAGAGGAACCCATGTTGAAATTTTCCAAGGCCTGACCTTCCTCCTCTCCTGAGGCAGCTTCTTCCTGGCTTCCAACTTCTTCCACCTTTGGCACCTCCAGAGTCACAATATCTGAATCATCACTTACTGCTCCCACGCAGGAAGTCTCATCCAGCAATTTTTCTTTTTCATCCTTGGATATAATGTTAAATGAGCAGCTTTTTATTATCAACATGAAAAAATAAATTTATAACTCTTTGCAAGTGCATTATCAAACTGTTAACTCAGATTTTACACACAGATGGCCTGGCTTCTATAGCCTGCTCACTGATGTACAACAGTCTTTATCAGTTGGGAGAGAAAGCTCTGAGCACAGGGCTTCCGGGGCCCAACAAGCTCATATCCGGATTGGGTAAGGCCTGTTCTGAGGAAGGGCAGCACAGCTTTCCTGCACAGTGTTTCCAGAGGCAGTAACTTCCCGACTTGCCCTTATCTCCTATGGCCCCAGGACTGTGGCTTTCTCCTAGTTGGAAGCCTCCAGAAATGTTGACCAGCATCTTGCAAAGAAAACCCAGCAGAGAATAAGGTGGAAGGTTGACACCCAACCCCTCCCTCCTTCATTTAGAGCACGCTCCTAGGGACTCTTGTAACAAGGTCAGAGCCTGCTAGCATCAGAACAGGCAACGGAGCAGGGAGGGAAAGATCAGCTGGGCCTCCTCTTTTGGCACAAACTCTGCCAGAAAGGACACTTGCAATGTTTCACCTTTCTCCTGACAGCTACAGATGTGAGAGGCTTTTGTCCCTACAGGTGATCTTCCAAGCCTTTTGTTGAATCATGACTTACCCCAGGAACCAGCTTGCTAGGCTCCATGGGGGGCTGGCTTGTAGCGCTCCCTGGTGCCCCATCACCCTGGCCGAAGTCAACTACAGAAGGAAGGATGAAGACATACAAGGTTGCCCAGAGCTCCAGAAATGACCCCTCTTTATGCACGTCTCTGCTCTTGCACACACTCATACTGCTCAGGCCAATCTAAGTGGGCGTATCGAGCTTTCCCCTCGAGAACCTGGACCGGACAGCATCAAGTATATAGCATGAATGTCTACTGTACCCATTGCACAGGAATCTGCCTACAACAACTTGGGAATGATTCTACTACAAATGAGACTTTATCTCCAAGGCTGATATAGTTTCAGTCACAAACCAGTGACTGCCCTGCTTTGGTGCTCCTAATGCGCCCCATTGCCATCCCACTAGCAACTACCAGCCTATTTATGCCCCACACAGGGAAGATCATTACAGAGCTTATCCCCAAATACCTAAGTCAGAACAAAGCTTCCCATTTCATCCCTGGCCATCCAAATCTCAGATCTCTTCCTCTTCCATGCAGCCAGACATCTCTCTGTTGGCTCAGCAATCCTCACCTGCAATTCCCAGAAGCTCTTTGGCCCAAATGAGAATGCTGCCAAGGCTCTGTGTCCAGACTCACCTGGCAAAGTGGCAGCCTGCCGCTGCTGCTCTTCCTCTTGTGTTGGAGACAGAAATTCCTCCGAAGCCAGTTCCTCGTGGCCACTTATGCTATCAGAGTCTGGTGCTGCTGCTTCAACGTCGGAGCCCTAAAAACACAAACACGCTCACTGGAGATTGAGTTGGAAGCTCCACAAAGAGTCCCCTGATAATATCAACATGTCATTGGAACCTAAGAACAGGGATGGGCAACTAGCAGTCCACAAGCATTTGCTCCCCAAATATCTTTTATTTCTCCTTTATTTGCTCCCCAAATAAATGTGGGAAGGTGGGAGGCCTCTCAGAAACAATGCAAAAGACAGAAATATTTTCCAGCCTCCCAAACTCTGCCTGACATAGCAGCAGAGCCTCCTAGGGCCCGGAAGTAGACTGCAGAAAAGGACAGAGTGCTACGCAAATGCTATTGTGGCTCTCGTTGGGCTTCTTCAGTTATCCTCACGCTCTAAAAAAGGAGGAGACAGACTGCTCTAAGCCAAGATAGTCATACCACCTTCAAGCACCTTGAGACCCTGGGCTACAGGGACCTTTTCACCATCAGGAATCTGGGGAAATGAACTCCATATGGCTTTCCTGCTCCATCTGAAAACCAGAGAACACATCTGGTGCCAGAACTCAAAGGACCTGTTCTTCCTCTCTTTTATCTTATGCTAGGGAGTGCAATTAGCTTCCCACAGCCCCACTGCTTAAGGTCTGGCTTGCTTTGGTTCCTGAAATCAAGTCAAAACTTTGTTTTTTTGTGGCAGACATCCCGGGGGCCCTCCCAAAGACTTCCCCACTTCAGAAGCTTTGATGCAAGCAGCTCCTGGGTCCCAAAGAAGGGTTTCTCCAGTGAGGTGCTTCTGTCAAAACCCGCAAAGATATCAGGGATTTTAAGTTGACTTTAACGGTGGCCTCTTGCAGGATGGGGTTGCTTCCACGCCAGCTGTGCTTGAGGTCTGGGGGCTGAAAGGCAAAGGGCCACCAACGTGACTGGCAAGTTCTTAACAGATCTGGGGGGCGGGAGAAGGTGTTAACAAACCCAGTGAAGGCTTGAGCGTCGCTAGGAAAGGCCAAGCCAGCAACGCCCAATCAAGGGAGGAAGAACAGGCGGCCCCGCATCGCCCTCCTTTGCAGTAGCCCTTCCAGGGCTCCGCCAACATTTCCTGCCCTGCCTGGCCCAAGAGGTGCCTCTGCCGTTCCTCCGAGGCGCTCCTGCACTGCAGGCAGCCAGGCCCCGAAGTCTGCCCGGTACCTCGTGGTTGATGACCGTCCAGCCACACGACGAGTCGCTGTCGCTGGAAATTTCGGACATTTTGAAGCAGCTGGAAGGAAAAGAGACTCTTCAGCGGGCGGCCTTCTCCCTCTCTGCCAGGAACAGGACCTGGGCGGCCTTCCGACGCTGACACCCCGCCACCCCCTAAGGCTGCCTGTCCGGAGCGGCCGCCGCCGCCGCGGGAGGGGACGCAGGCCGAGCAGCGCCGGGGCACAGGGGGAGGACTGGGCTCTCCACCCTTCGCCTCCCCCGCGCAAAGCCCTGGGCTCTGCGGGCCCTGCACGCCCCCCCCCCAAGGGCCGCGGGGAGCAACGGCCCTCCGCCCCGCCTTTCCTCCCGTGCGAAGAGGGCGCTCGGCGGGGCAGACCGGCCAGGAGGCCGCGGGCGGCCTACCTGCTGCAGCGGCGCAGCGACCGCCGGCCTCCCCTGCTTCGCCAGAACAACAACCGGGGACCGGAAAGGCGACGCCGTTGCGCCTGCGCCTCCCGTGGGGCGTCTGCCGGGAAGCGTAGTCCGCCTCCGCCCGGCGCTGCGGTAGGCTGGCCGCTGCGGAACTACACGCCCCAGGGGGGAGCGCGGCCGGGGGCGGCGTCGCGCATCAACAAAGGGCGGGGCCGGGCCGTTGCCCGGGCGACGCGGAGGGCAGCTCGCCGCAAAGGCCTCCTCCTCCTCTGCTGCTTCTGCCGGGCCGGATGGCCGCCGGGGGAGCCTGGCCGCGGAGTATCTCCGGAGCCAACCCGGGCAACCCTGTCTTCACGTGCCTGGCGGACGCGCGGGCGCTGGTGACAGGCACGCCCCTGAGCGCGCCGGTACCGCTGCTCTACAAGACCACCGCCGGCGATTACGGCGCCCTGCGCCCCACCTCGGCCACGGCGCCCTGCCGCTTCTGCCCACTGGAGAGCGCCTTCACCGCCCACCTGGCCGCCGCCGGGCCGCCGCAGCACAACGGGATCAACACGGGCGCCGACCGCTCGCCGGTGTAGCCCCCCCTCCGTCGCCCGCCCGCCCGCCCCCGCAGGGAGAAGAGCGGTGGAGAGGCGAAGGCGGCAGGAGGAGGAGAAGCGCCTTTATTGGGCTTGTCGGGAGTGAGGAGGCTCCAGAGGGAGCGGAGGACGCCCAGTCCAAAAACATCTTCTAAACTTGCCAGAAGAATTTTTCTACTCGTTGCCTTGAATTATGCGCCGAATCTTCTCCACATCCTGTCCTATATTTTTATCTGTAGGCTCGATCTTGAGAGCAGCCAGATAATCTTGAAGGCCTAGAATAATTTTAGCACCCATAATTTAGCTTGGAAGCCACACCACCTGCGTCAAGAGTATTAACAGCCTTCCTGAAAATAGCTTTACACCCAGGTAAGCCTAGGATCAGGGTCAACTCCTCAGACACCCAGCACTGGGGCTTCCCAGCCTCTTAATATGACGAGAAGAATATGTGAAGTTTAGTAGAATACAATTAATTTAATCTAAATACAAAATACCAACCCCATCTCCACAATTAGCATTTTATAAATAATTCCAAAATTATAAGCTAGATTCCCAAATCACATTTCACAAATAACAATGAAGAATGTAAATGGGCCAAGCTATATTGGTGGTGATGGTTTTTTTAAACAAAATAACAGATTAATATATTTTTTGGCATACACCATATGGAACTTATGTACATTTTTCTCTGGGAGAGACACTAAATTAGAACAATACAACTGACAGGAAGAGCCTGAGAAGAGACAGGAGAAGAAAAGAATGGCCACCTCATAAAAGACTGATGCAAGAAAGCAGCTGATTCTTAAGTTCTTAATGAAGCTTTGCAGGCAACAGATTCACACAGGACTAAGCTTGGAAAAAGAAAGGATTTGGAGTTTGGCAGAGGAACAGATGTTCTGAGTCTAGAAAATAAGATTCTCTCCTCCCAATTTCCCATAAACTGAAATATTTTACATAAATAATAATTTTAATATTAGCTCATTTCTACTGGTTTCAAGAAGCACTGAGATTAAACCTACATTTAAACCTACATTAAACCTTTTTGTAAGGAGAAAATGACAGCAATATAATGAAACAAAAATAAAAGTAGAGGCATTTTACCTTTCAAAGACTCCCCTTCCTTACCTTCTGTATACAATTCCAGTTCACAGAATGCTGTCCCACGCCTCAGGTGAGCTTTTAATCTTGCCTTGGCATTGTTGGAAACCGGAGGGGTGAGCAACTCCAAGGCCTGGCCAAATAAAATGTACAGATGGAGTGTGAACTAACCCATCTTTATTTCTAAGTACATCATTTAGGTCCTTGCTATCAGTTCAAGAGCACAAATATATCCTCTTTAAAGGCAACCTGTAGCGGAAGCTTCATAAGTGGATCACTTGATACAAAAGGTGCCCTCTAAATTTGAGTGGAATCCCTCAGATAGCATGGTCCCATACTATAAAGGGCTATAAAGGTCAAATACCTGAGAGGCATCCTCAATTACTTTATGTAGATTTCTCAGCCTCAGGTGGCAAGCAGCTCGATTCAAATATAAGGTTGGTATCTGGTTATTAATACGAATTGCCAAGTTGTAAGCATTGACGGCAGCCAGATAGTTACCGGTTTCAAACATTTTGCTAAAAAAAAAAAATAACCTATGTGAACAAAGGAATAGCTACTGCATTTCCAACAGGGCTTCAAACTTTGACATCTTGACTAAAGAACCATAAACTGATTGTGTCAACCACCCACTTATTTAGTAAGAGCTGAACATATTTACAGGGCTTTGTGACTCAGTAAATGTACCGTATTTCCCCATGTATAAGCACCCCCTTTGTATAAGCCACCCCCCCAATTTTTGGACTGTGAAGTTTTGAAAAAAATATTTTATTAGAGAAACAAGTTATGAAGAAAGAAAATTTACAAAGAAACAAAATTCGACGTCTAGATCTACAACTTCGGTCATGACGCCGAAAGCGGTGCGGGCGACGCTAGCAATCTACGCATCGGAACGAGAGTAGGAACGAAGCATTCAGGCCGATGCCTAGCGTATGCATTTCTATCGCGTACTCGCACTCGTAATCGTATCATCACGTACAATTTTTACAAAAAAGTATAGCATACTGCTGGAAAACCAGTTTATTCCTACTTTATTATTTTATGCATTTTTCACGTATAAAAAGTGTACCTGCTTTGTATATGCCACCCCCCTACTTTTTGGGCTTGAAAATTTTGGAAAAAAGGGGTGGCTTATACATGGGGAAATACGGTATTTTTCTACTTATTGACAGCACACACACATAAATTACACTGGTGACTCTATAAGGTTTACAAGACACTGAAATAGAAGACTTACAACCAAACGATACCCTATCTTGGTATGTATATATGGCACACCCCATTTCGTTATAATTAACGAAAAGCCCAGCTACACAATGACTGCCTTGAAAATGCTGTGGCATAGGGGAGCACTCAGGAACTGCTATTCTGGTTGCTTAAGGAAGAAGAATGCAGGAGAGAGAAAGCTGTATACTAATGAATATTGAAGCCCAACAAACTGGCCCTCTTCTCCTCCAACTCTAAGCCAGGGATCCCCAACCCCCAGGCTGTGGACTTGGCACTGGTCCATGTCATGCCAGAAACCGGTCCGTGCAAACAAAGTCCCATCTGCAGGATGCAGGCAACACACAAAACCCCACCCCCTTCAGTCCGTGGAGAAGCCTCCCTCCACGGAACCAGTCCCTGGTGCCCAAACGGTTTGGGGCTGCTGCTCTAAACCATAGTGGGTTTTGGAGACCACCTTTGGGAAGTCCATTCCAAACTCACTTTCCCTTGTCTTTCAACCACTCTGGGTTCTTTTCCTCTTCTTTTAAATCCTCGATCTCAGCAATATCTGCATTTATTATCCTGCGAGCCTCTGCTTGTTTACATAGCCACTGCAAATAAAAGACACACACACAACATCAGCTAGATGCTCCTAGGTAAACTATCAGAGAAGCATGGCTTCAAAACAAGCTCTTCCTGCCTAGGATTCTACTCAGAGGCTCAACAGATTTCATCCAACTAGTAAAACTCGTTGCTGTTGACATCCTGCTCTTGCAGAGGCTGCCTCTTCTCCTGGGATTTCTGTTAACAGAAAAAAAATCCCTGAAGAGAAATGACAACATTTCTCCATATGTTGTATTTTCCCTACTTTATGTCAAAGTTTGCAGTTACAATGTTTATTTTTGTGATCTACAATTAGCACAGTAAAGCACTGCTCACATAGACATCATAAAATCTCTCTAACTGGTCTCAAACATTTTTTCTTCAGGTATAGCTTTTTATTTTCTAGCATTTTGTCTCCAAGACTGTATTGCTACTGAGGCGATGCCAGTCCCTCTACATAGGCCTAGTCAGGAAATATATTCTACATGTTTGTATGAACAAATACTTATGCTTCTGTAACTGTTCCTATAGGGTGTCTTCAAGGCTCTGTGGCTCTCTACAGGTAGTGCAGTGGTGTTGAAGATGCATTCCTGATACTAATTTTCTTTGCCAGAGCATTTAATAAGACCATCCCCTTTCCCTGGGGCTATGACTTCAAGCCATGCCTCATGAAATATTGTGGAGCATTTATTCCAGATCTGCAGGGTAAAGAAAGGAGAGTATCAACTGGGAAAATCTTACTCTTCACAAGCCATTACAATTCCTCACTATTTTATGGGGCATGACCCAAGACAAATTCCTGGTGCCTTTCCACGCAAGGACACTGAATATTTTTTCAACCTTGGTGTTGAAAAGTAGTAGAGGAAGCAAGCACCATCTCTTTTCCAATAACATGCTAGAACTCCTCTGCCTGCCAGCACCACATGGCACAAAGCAGTCAAGCCCCCTACCTCTTCCTCCTCTGGGATTCGTGATTCTCTAAGGGCTGTTGGAAAGACACGAGGTGTAAAATGTATCATAATGCTACCAGGAGGACGTGGAGAAGGAATTGAATCTTCCTTTATCTTTTCTGAAAACATATTTCCATAATTTCCACCTGTAATAGTCAAACACAAAAGCTGTTTAATGCTATATTCCTGTTCATGGTTAATAGTAGCAATAAGGGAGAAAAAGGAGTCCAGCCACAGATGTTTCTTATTTCTGATATTTATAAAGCAAATGTCTGCAGATGACAAATGCAAGAAGATTGAAACAAAACCAAATACTGAATATATCCCTACGACACATTCCTGGAATGTGCTACTATGAGTTACGTCCTCCATAGATTTTTTTTTTTTTTTGGGGGGGGGGGGGGGAGAACGGGACACACAAAAAGAATACAGGGCTGTACACTTGTATCATGCCAGCCTTTTGAGGCATATTCCAGAAATCTGAATGGAAATTTATTTCATTGAACTAGGCCACAGAAACAGAATCTTGAAAGCCCCCCACTTGAGTTTCCCTTTTAACACTATAGTGAGTCAGGGAGGACAGACTGAGATGCTTTGCCACATTTTTGCTCCTGCTGGGGCTTAAAGCATGCTTTTGAATATGCAACCATCACAGACTTGGTCTGGTTTCCCCAAGGTGAAATTACTGCAGAACATCGCTACAAATTTTTTTGAAAAATGCTTTGGGATAGTTATTTGTGCATTTTTGAAAGGACTGTATTTTTAGTTCACATTATATGTTGTGAATCTACACACTGAAATTCAACATGGAAAGCTTTTGATTTTTTTTTTTTAAATATTTTAAACAGCCAGACTAGAGCAAAAAGACAGCAGTGTCCCATGAAAGGAAGTGCCATGAGAATGTTAATACCTTTAGCTAATGCTCCTGATGTGGACACTCCCTTTCCAGCAAAAGATCCCAAGTTCTGGCATTCTTTTATTTCTCGGAGAACTTCTGTATTTCTGTTTGGCAACTGGAATTTAGTACATACTTTCTTTTGCATCTCATTCTGCCTTTTCCATGCTTCAATCTCCTCAGTGCTTTTTTTCCGTTCTTGTTCTTTTAGCTCTTCTATTCTTTTTCTTTCTGCTTCTTCTAGCTGTTTGAATTATAGGACATGCATTCTGAAATTATTTTTCTGTTAAGGGGCAAGTTTCCTCATTAACAACTTATCAGGCAGGTAATTAAGATTCCCCCTTTCAGAGGCACAGTTTTCAGAAGGCCACAGGGAAGTTAAATACAAGGCAGAATCTAGAAGTAGAGGAGCAGCCTGCTCCATAAAACTCAAAGGCACCCGCATCTCTTCTCTACAGTATCATCTGAGCAAAATGAGGATTTGCAGAAATGCATCTGATTTCTCACAGCAAAAGATGAACTGCTAGTTTAATTCTTCATCCACCTACCGATAGTATAATACCTCATTTCCAGAAGCATTTCAGTATTAGCCTTGTACTTATTAATTTTAATAAGCTTATGAGTTGCTCCAATCACAAATGACTGAGCTGCATGTACAATATACACAGATATCACTAGCACTTAAGAGTGAAGTAGGTGGAGAGTGGATGTTCACCAGAATTGATAACCCATCCAATGGGTGCTAGGAAAAGCAAGATTGCACTCCAATGAAAAGGAGGTGAGAAGGTAGAAAAAAAATGGAGGACGCAAGTTGAGTGAAGAGCCTGAGGACTATGAACAGCTGTGGGGAAACAAGTGTAATGGGACAAAAGAAATTAGAGTTCAACTGTTGCAGAAAGAATAGAGGCCCAGTTGGCCCAAACTCAAGAAGAGTTATAATGAGGACCAAAAGGTGTGCCAGGGAATGAAGCTGCCATGGCTTGAGAAAGAAGAATAAAGAATCGGCTATGGGGGTCCAGATGTGAAAATACAAGGCCAACAAGACGTAGAGCTTGGACACAATGGCATGGTAAAGCATTATCGTGGTCTGTAATTAAAAGACCCTTATTTGAGGAATGGTTCCACGGCCCATAAAGTAGAAAGGCCAGACATGGGTTTATAATTGGGGGGGAGGGGAGAGGACAGAAAAGGAAGGAGGAAAGAGAAAGACCGCCAAGAAGAGGCTGATGATGGGTCAGAATCCTAAGGCTAGAAAGCAAACTAAGCTTTCACCTCCTGGGAAGAGGGCCATTTACCTTGATGGTGGCATCCAGAGCAAATCTGCCGCGTTCCCGTTTCTCTGCAGACTTCGCCGCTGCTTTCGCTCGGGCCTCCTCCTGAGCTTGGAGGACGGCCTCTTCGCGAATTTCCCGCATCTTTGCTTCGTTCCCTGAAAAAGCCGTTTCGGCTGGGAAAGGGGCAGGAGACAGAAACCGGCCGCACGGGGGTATTTGGGTAGGACCCCACCCCCCGCAGCCGAGCCCCCCGCCGCCGCCCCTCACCGTCCTCCGCCCGCAGCGACGCCCACGGGACCGCCTCCTTCTTGAGCAGGGTGAAGACGACGCAGCCATCCCGGATCTCGGCGCGGCTGCGCTCGGCGTCGATAGGGGCGAAGAGCGCGGCTTCGAAGAGCAACGGCGGCGCGTTCACCTGCGGGAGGCGGGCAGCAGCGGGTTACCTGGCGTCCGCCGGGCCTTCCGGGCAGCGCCCTCCGGGCCGCCCCTCGAGCCCACCTTGAGGTACCGCTCCGTGCAGAAGAGGCCGTGGGGGCGGAGGCGGCCGGCCCGCAGCGGCACGGTCAGGCGCACGGCCTCGGACGTCTGCTCCCAGCTGAAGTCGTGCACCCAGACGGGCATGGCGGCCGTTGCCCGGACGCTGGGAGCCAGAAGCGCCGCCCCTCCCGCAGACTTCCGCCGGAAGCCACTCTAGCCGCTTGCGCCGGCTACGGCTCACCGCGGTAAGTCTGTACTGCCCGGGCTGTTGTTCGTTCGACGCCGCTGAAGCGAAACAGACTGTGTCCCGCCACCCATTTCCCAGAACAGGACATGAATTCCACGAACGACAAAATACATCAAAAACCGGTTTAATCACTGGCGTCAGATCCTTTCAGCTCGCCATCCATCCACAGCGAAACAAAAATGTCATTCCTATACTTCCTAGAGTAGCTCACACAGGCACCATGATATGAAATCATTTGTATTACATAGTAATTTCATTTCTTACTAGAGGAACAATAACGGACAAAGTTTGGGAGATTGATTCCAATTTGAATTACATCAACTTTGCCACGCGTCACAGTCCTGTTGCATGTGTTATTTCAGACATGCCCGACTATTATTTTAAAAGTTGCTGGAAAAATAAACGTCACCAATGTGGAACACATTTGAGGTTGTATAAAAATTACTCAACTGATATCCCCAAAACAGGTATAGGTAAGCATACATAAGAAAAGACATGTTTTAATATGAAACAGTAATTAAATCACAACCCAAAAGACACATTGCCAAGTATGTATGTTACACATTACTAGCAAGCAAGGCTCTATATATGAGGTTCACATATTTAAACATGAATAGCAACATTTCAAAAATAACATGAAAAACAAGTCACTGATTTTTTTTTTTATATCTCAGAACTGAACATCCACATTAGGTTATTTAAACATCCCCACAATTTGTAAGTGTGAAATGTTATTCCACACATAACTAGGGCACAAACAGATGAGAAAAAGGGATGGAGTTCACAAGTTATGTTCTTTCAACTTGGGTGGCTTCTGTGTCCATTGGGGGGGGGAGGGTTGAGCAGTGGCCTCCCCCAGCACAGGGCAGGATCTATAGAACGAGCAGCAGCAGCAGCAGCAAAACCCCTGCCTGCTCCAGGACTACTTTGGACCAGCTAATAGATGGCCAAGTGTTTTAAAGCCATAGAGATACCTGGACGGTATACCTGAATGGGGGAGAACTAGTCACAACAGGGGTAGTGCTTGTCCTTCCCCAAATTCCAGGAGCATGGAAGCTAGAATTGGTAACAGAAGGCCTCGAGCTACCTACTAGATTTCTAGATAGACTTCCATCACTTAATTCTGGATTAAGTTGTCCAAATTATTATTTTTGCTCCAATTGTTTCCAGACCAGAAATATAGATCCATTCTGATTTATCTCCAAAACAAGGAATGAAAAAAAGAGCTTAGTGTGATGTTTATTTGTTCATTTCATTTTTTTATTGGATTTATTTTCATAGCCATGAAGGCATTTGCCATTTGTTCAATGGAGATTCTAGAATTCCCAGATTGTATGGTCACAATCAAATTTTGGATTCATCTACATAGCTGTATTACTGTGGTGGTTATTATCTGGGAGACTTTCCCACTGCCTGGGATGGCCCACCAGATTTCCTCAAGAAGGAGGGAAACGGTATGAGTTATGTTCCCATCCAGAAAGGAACTGGCAATGTGTGCCAGTTTTCCACCAACTTCTCCTGTTTTTAGGCAAGTACCTGGAAATCCAAGTCCCCTCTGAGCGCTCAAGATGGTTTCAAAAAATGGCCACTGGGCTGCAGGGAAGGTTGGGACATGTAGCCCCTCTCCCATGAATGGTGACCATGTGGTTGCTGCTACTCCTCTCAAGATGCTTCTATAGGATTGTCCCTCCTCATCCTAATCTCCAGGATAAAACTCTGCAATCATGCTGGTAAACACTCCCCCCCCAATGGCTGGTAGCCATGTTGATTGGGATCTTACACTCAATTATTACCTGCCAGGGGGTCAGCAAATCACCAGTGGCCAACTCTGTACCTGGCATTTCAGGGAGAAGGCCTGCATGTATGCTATCAGGCACTGAAAACCTGGTTCTTGAGGACCCTTGTTTAAAAACAGGCTGCTTGAAACTGACAGAAAGAAAGAGAAAGTGAGAGTGAGAGATAACTTTTGGATCTGGATCTGTTTATTGTAAAGGCCCTGCACATAATTCTAATGTGATCAGAAATAGGCACTATAAAAATAGCAGAATTCAAAAACACTAGCCAGATTACCCTCACTAGATAAATTCCAGCTCGCATACAAATCATTTCCCAGGGATACCTGTAGAAGAATAACTGCTTTGTTTTCCTTCTGGGATGGACAGTCTACTTTTTCAACTGGAGAAAGCGCAGAAACAGAGTAAGAGAATGACAGGTACTAATAATATATTGCAATATTATGGTTCGTCCACTGCATTCTATCAGCAGAGTGAAGAGTTTTGCAAAAGCAGCCCTTTTGTAGGCCTAAACCTCACCATCAAGAAGAAAGCTTTTCCTCAAGTTCTTCTGATGAAAACTGAATGCACTTGGGCAGATAACAAAATGTGTGGAAAGATGGGAGTTTCATAAACCATGGGGGGAGTGGATTTGCTCAGGCATCGGTGTTCAGGGCCGGTAGTCCTGCCATTTCCCTGGTGCGCATCAGCTGCACTTCCTTGTCTGCCATGCAAGTATCACAGCCCCAGACTGCCGAAGCCTCTGCGGTCAGCAGACCATACGCCGACTCTGTCATGCCTGTGCAGATCCGGTGGAACCATTTCTGACAGGAGGCTTCGCAGAGGATGGCGTCCTGATCGTCATTCACCTCGTGGGTACAAATCCCACATGGATAAAGTGGCTCAGAGGGCATGTGGCCGTGCTGAGGGGGGTGCAGTGGGGTTTTGCTGCCGCTGCCGCCACCCCCAGCCTTCTCGGAGCTGCTTCCCTCGGGACGTCCACAGGGCAGGCAGGGTTTAACGGGGGTCCCATTCGCATGGGCACTCTTCAGGTTTTCCATGCGCTTTGGCAGGACCCCCTCGGGAGTGCCCGCTGGGGCGTGCCTGTGCCCACTGGCCTTTACATCCCTGCTTCCTGAGCTCAGCGGGTCCTCTGACCTGAGCAAGGTAAGGTGGTGCTGCTGGGACGGGGGTTGGTGCTTGTTAACCTCCAGCTTCGTGAAAGCTTTCACCTGCTTGTAGTAGGTGGGTGGGCCGGGAGTGTAAGAGCGATTGGGCTCTGTCAGGGAGCTGCCAAAGGCCGGGTTGGGGCCGAGCCCCAAATGCCCGGTGGAGGGAGGCCTGGGGCCAGCGTTCTGCGAGGGCATGTGGCCGAAGTTTTCTCCCGGGTTGGGACGGAAAGGCGGGCCGGGCCCGGGCAGGGCTTGGCTGGCGCCATAGAGCTGGTGGCCGAAGGCCGCAGCGTTTTCGGGCGGCCCGAAGGTTACGGCCGGAGCCCTGCTGAAGGCCGCCCCCGCCGGGCTCTGGCCAAAGGGTGGCGGCTGGTGGCGGAGCGGGAAGGCGGGAGCCCCGTACGGAGAAGCCACTCGGGGCAGCAGATGAGGCGGCATCCTGAAGGCGTTGTAGCCCCCGAAGGCAGGATACACGGGGCCGGCGAAGTAGGGGCCCCTCACGGGCTTGTAGGCGGCGGCGGCGTAGCGGTCGTCGAAGGGGTTGACGGCGATCAGGTATTCGGCGCTCGGGTTGGGCGGCGGGGCGTACTCGGAGGGAGGTGCGGGGAAGGGGGCGCCCTGCGGGGGGGCGAGAGCAGACCCCTGAGCCCTGCGGGAGGGCGGCCCCCGCACCGAGGCCCAGCACCCGCCTCCCGCCCCCCCCAGCGCCGGCCCGGGCCAGCAGGAAAGCGGGCCGGCGCCCCGGCTTACCTGTGCGCCGCCCTTGCGCTTCTTCTCGGGGCTGCCCAACTGCAGCCCGGCGCCCGCCAAACCCTCCAGGCCGCCGTCCACCCCTGCAAGAGCCGAGCGCAAGCTCCGTATCGCCGCTCTGGGGACGCCCCTTCCCCCCTCCCCGCCCCGGCCCCGGCACCCACCTCGGGGCCTCTTGAGCGGCGCGCCGGGCTCTTGTTCCGCGGACATCGCCGGCGTAGCATGGCGAGCCGCCCCGCCGGGCAGACGCAGCACCCCGGCAGCCCCGACCCGGCGACCGCGATGCGCAGCCCGGCCCCTCCGCCAGCGGCGCGGACCCTGCCCTCGCCTGCAGCCGCTCGCGGGTTGGAGCTTCGGGGACGCTGCTCCTCCTGAGCTCCCCACCCAAGGAAGCGCTCCGTTGGCCGACCCCCGAGATCTCCTGCCCGCCCGCCGCTTCAGAAGGGGCCTGCGTACGAGGCGGTTCCCGGCAACGGGCGGAATCGGTGGTCGGTGGCGTCCTGCCCTGGTTGTTTGTTTCCCCCAGCCGCCCGGGGCCCTGCCGCGAAGAGTTTGGAAAAGGACAACGGAGCTTTCCAAAGGAAACAGGCCGCCGGTTACTACAGGAAACTTTTATTTCAACTGTGCAATCCATCTGTGTAAGACAGGAGTTTCATAAACATTTTGGCATTTAAATTTCTACTCATTTTTGGCATGAAGTTTGTGCTAGCATCAGGACAAGCCTGGGAAAGGATGAAGGGAAAGAGGAAGGACACAGGTAAACATTCACTATGCTATCAAAAGGTGTTTTTTTTTTTAAAAAAAGCACATTAAGCAAAATGTTTATAAAAAAGACATCTTAAAAGGTACATTCATTATCAGACCATCACCAACTGTCCTCACGCAATGGAGGTCACAGAGCTGATCCCCTGAGTCAAATATAAAATTAATATAATTCAGCTCCATTTCCCCCCATTGGCCGGCCAGCTGCGGACGACCCTGCAAGAAAATAGCAGGAGTGGCAAGAGCCAGAACACCCTTGGCCAAAAGGCCTCGCTGGACTCCCACACTGGCAATTCATTCACATCTTCAAGAATACAAGGAAGCTAATTTGTTTTAAACGGCCATTTAGCAAAGTGCCAGGCCTGATAAGGAGGGGCTCTGTGTGTGCAGTGTAAGAGGACTTGGGGGCGGGGGGGGGGGGGGATTACTAGCTGGTGGAAGCTTCATGTGCCAAGTTGCTCAAAAAGTTAGGAGTCAGCAAAGTACACACCAGTGATGAGGTTCACACTTACTCCAATGCACAACTGGAATCCAGATGTGATTCATTTCAGATACTTCAGGGACTACCTTTTCCCTCTTCCAAATCGATGGAAAATGAACCCCAAGGTGTTGCCACCCATTTTGAGATGCAAGGCAAGGCAGCCAGGGTGGGTGAGAGGATGCCCTGGTGGTGCCATTGTAACTCCCTTTTCCTGAGGGCTTCACTGCCCTACTTTTGGGGTGAGGTGTCACTTGAGAACAAGAAGAGTAAAAGCAGCAGCAGCAAATGTGTCACAGAAAAAACAGAGCAACTCTTGTGGTAATGATGCCAGCTAGGATTCTGAAACACCCCGAGGTTGAGATGGAAAAACATAAAACTCTTTTAAAATAGAACAAAATTAAGACAGCTGTCTTAAACCTGAAACTTGGGATAAAGGTCTCCCAAACAAACGGAAACAAGATTTGCCAAACCTGCCATGATTGGTGAGATTCACAAAATGCATGCTTCATACACAATGCTTGCACATCACTGTGGCCGAGCCCACCTAGCTCAGTTGCGCCCCCCCAATACAGGTCAGGTTTCCCCCTTCCCCGGTGCCTGGGGTAGGGGGAGAGCCACATTCAACTGCAAACTGCACACAGAGACACCTTGTGCACCTGACCTGGCTCTTTTTTCGGCACTGCATGGACATTTATGCCCTATCCTTCACTCAAGGGGCATTTTACTCCTCTTCAGAATAGAGAGGACCTGGTTACAGATGTTTCCATGAGAACCAACTTCTCCACCTGTGCAGGTTGCTGATGGCACAAGCTCAGAATATGCACTTGGAGGGGGGGAGGGCTGCAATTCAGGTCATACTTCCAAATGCTTTCTTGGATGTCCCAGGGAACTGATGGGGGTAGATTGCCCCATAGGTCCCCCTGCATTCAAAAGAAGATGGAAGGAAAGAAACCATTTTGCTAGGAAGCATCCACAGGTCCTTCTGGTGAGAGTCACCCTCAACCTCCACCCCACACTAACCTAGGTTTTCCCTATGATGAGGGAAAGATCATTCACACACACACACACAGAGCCTCGTATATGGGTGGTGGTGGGCATCTGAAAAGATAATGTCAATTCAAAACAAAACAACAAAAACAACAAAAGTAAAGAAAGGTCACCTAGCATAGGCCTCTACATCGAGGTAGCCTTAAATATCTTTGGTTTTCTTCATTTGCTGCTCTGCAACCTTGGACACAAATGATTTCCAACTTGCAAATCTCCCTCCCTCTCTTGAGCTGCTGCTCTGGCCATCGGGAGAAAAGGACCCTCTACGGGAAAAGGGGAAGACCCAATAAGGCCACCGCCCCCCCCGCCCCCCCTCCTGGGCCAGGATGCCTCTGCTCCAGCCCCACCTCTGCGTGAGGCCAGGCTCCGCCAAAGGGCTCAAGGGACAGGGTACATCTTCCGCTGCCAACCACCAGAAACAAGAATGCCCTGGCACTGCCTCATCGTCCCCAGAGGTGGTCCAAAAGTGTCAATATTCACAGCAAACAAGTCTTTGGAGAAAAAGGGGGCCCACTCAGCACAGCGGGCCTTGAAACTCAGCAAGCTGTCCACCTGAGCAGACGTCGTTGATGGTGTGGCAGGCTCAGCTTTGGCCAACAAAACCTCCCGATCAATCTTTGGCAAAGAATTTCCTTTTCTTCAACAAGTATAAATGAACATTCAGAAATATTCTCTCTGCTACTTAATAGAACTGCCAAAGAAAAGGAAAACAAAATTACACTTAAAGTCTTTGGAGCTGAGAGGGTCTTATTCCAACTGTTATAAAACCGTTCTGGCAGCAACAACACTAAAGATCACTTTGTAAAACCACCTAGTCCACTCCTCATCTCCATTTGGTTTTCAGCTCCCTTGGGTTCGTATCTACTTAGGCATTAAAATTATTTGATTCTGCAGATTTTAACTATCTCAATTATCTTTTGCAGAAAATATGAAGCTTGCTTCTCCTTTCCACAAAACGTTCTTTGGTACAAGATTAGTATTTTCTTTAAAGGCTTTGCATCAAAAATGGTGGAAAAGACAGTGCTGGCCTAGCCAACACTCTCAGCTGCCACAGCAGCCTCTGGGCTCTTGCAAGGCCACAGGCCAGCCCCAAAGTGGAGCAGGGAGGGCTGGGAGGGGGACCCCCTCCCACCCTTCGGGTCCACAACCAGCCTCGTGTCCTAAATGGACATTTCTTGTCGCCTGCAAGAGACCCACCTGGGAGTCACATCTGGAAAGTTTGCCAGATCTTTTCTCAATGGAAACAGGAGGGAACTGTACCAGCTAGCTTACAATTGGGGTGAATATGACCTCTCTTTTGCTCACCATCTCATTCACTCGCTAACTTTAGAACAAAACAAAACATGAGATACCCTGTCAGTTTGCCTTACAACACGCAAGACAGCTTAAAAGGAATAAACTGAACCCTGAGCAGGAAAACAATAACACTAGAATAACTTTAAAAAAGAGGTAGTATATAAAACAAGAGCTGTGTGGGAACCAAGAGGATGCTCCACTGTGCCTTTAGGCGAGAGGGGCTCTGTCCGAGCACTGGCCTGGGGGCTGTGTCCCAGGCTAATGGGCTCCCGTGCTCAGGACCAGCCAGGGAAACTAATGGGGGATCCGCATCCTGACTAGCAGAGCCCATGTAAGGCCTCGTTCTGGACTCCAAAGGAACTTCACAAGTAAGGCAAGCAGTGAGTTCATAACTATCTAATGGAAGGCACCGTTACTGCCAGAACATTTGGGGGAATCATCTGGCCAAGGGAGCACAGCAGAGGCGGAAAGCCCACCCCTCCCATCTCCCCAGCTGTGGTCTCCAGAGGAAGGCACTGACAAGGCAGGTGGGACCCTGGGGCCCCAGAGCTACCCGCAGCCTCTGCCCTGCCGGCCCCTGGAGAGACCACCTTTGGGGATCGTTGTGCCCGAGGCCAATGGGGCAGCCCCCTCTGCTTCCCAACACAACACCTTGGCTCACTCTCCATACATTCAGGGAAAGGACTCGGGGCTGCCAGGAAGGGATCACCGGACTTTCAGCCACGAGCAAATGAGGTAGTGGGGTTGCTTCCTTTGGCGTCTGCCTTGGTAAGCTGAGGTAGATGCTCAAGCAAAGGGGGCACCTTTGCTCCAGTGACAGGGAGGAGGGCTGCCCTGCTCTCCTTCCGCATTTTTGCGCACTGGACATTCAGGAGGGAAAGAAAACACAAGGAGGCGGTGGAAACACGGGCTGCCTGAGGGTTCTCGGGCATCCCACGGAAACCTTGACCCCCCCCAGTTCATGGCTCCCTGCATGATGTCCCATTGCTACTGCCAGTCACCGGTGGCTGGAGAGGCCTAGGGACAGGACAGCTGGCTGCCAAGTGTGAGTCGCTGCCTGGGAAGGAATCTGAAGCACCAAGGCCGGGATGGGGGTGCAGTTCCTCGTTGGACGCGTGGGAGAACCTTCCCGAATCCCCCGTCTCGTGGCTGCCTTGGCTATGGGCTGAATGCTCTGTGTCGGTTCCCAGGCTGCAGATCCTTTGGGTACTTGGCTGCTGCTCTTCGCCAACCAGCATGGCTGCCCTCGACCGGCACAGGAAGGCTGCCGAGGCCAGCTGCCTCGGGGCCTGCGGGAAGAACAAGAGCTGGTTGGTTGACGCCACTCCCACTGAGCGTGGAGTTCAGCTTTGTGAATGGAACCTGCCTCACTAGCAAGTAGCGCCTTGGGAGGAAGGGCCCGGCTATTCGTGGGCTGGCCTGCTGAGACACCTGGCCTTGCTGGGCAGGGACTGGTTCTTGCACATTACCGGCACCTGTGACGGAGGAGCTGAAGCGAATAAGATTTCTCCAAAGAAGCAGGAGAAGTCAAAGAAGGAAGTTCTGGCAGCGTTGCTGAGGGTGCAGAGAGCCCCGGGATGCCAGCTGGAGTGGCCTGTCCCAGCACAAGCCCAGGTGCCTTAAAGGTCCCTTGCCAAGCCAGTTCCAACTTCTCAGGGGCCTGCCCTGCCCTCTGCTCTGGCAAAGCCTACTGGGCTCACAGGATGCCTCCAAGGGCCTCCCCATTGCTTGATAAGCAGTCCAGGAGCACAAACGTCATGCGCAGGGGCAGCCTAGGGGCAACCTCACAATGGACTTCTTACCCAGGTATTGCCAGGCTGAGGGAGGGGTGAATGTCCAGGGCGATAGCTAAATTCAGAGGGAGGTGAGATCTCTGCCAGATGGATATTTTTGGGCGGTTGCCGCATCTGGAGAAGGACATGCAGGAGCCCCCTCCCCTTTCCCAGGCACTTAGTGTATCAGGAGAGGAGCCAGCAAAGAGTAGAGGGAGGCCCTGGGCCACAGCAGAGGCCATGATCTCCCCAGGAGGTGGACCTTCTGCTGCCCTGGTGAAGGGAGCTGCAGCTCTCACCTCCTCTGCTTTCTCCTTCCAAGAGCCACGCAGGAAGAGCCGTTTCTTCTGGGGTCTCTTTTGCATGACTGGACCAAAGCGGTTTATAACAAGGTCAGTTCCACCCTGAAGGGGGGGAGAGTCTTCCGTTACCCGCAGGGAAAAGGAGAAGGGCCCAACGCCGGCCTGCCGGTAGACTGGCTCCCAGATCCACTCCCCAAGAGCCAGCACTCTGAGTCCTCTCCCTGGCCCGGCCCCTGCTGCACATTCGGGGACTCACACCTGGGACAGAGCCCACCTGCCAATCCCCCTAATGCCAGTCCCCTTGGCCAGTCAGCCTGAGTTCCTGCCAGAGACAGAAAGGCCCTTGGAACTGTCCCCCAGACCAGGGAGGGAAGAGATAGCCACAGTCCTTCTGTGAGGCCGAGGGTATTTCTTGGATATTTATTCCACCTGTTGCTCTGGTATTAAAAAATGCAGGTAAACCACCAAATGCGGCACAAGTGAGGGCAGAGCCAAAGGCAAAAGCAGCAGCTTTAGCAGCCTGTCAGTGTATTCCTAGACGATGACCCCTGAAGGATTTGGCTGCTGTCCCGCATGAGGATCCTTCCTCAAGATCTTAGAAAGCTGGGGAGATTGGACCGGGATATCCCACGTGGAAGGGTATTCCTATTTACAACCATGCATGAATAAAACTTGCTGTATACAGAGCTGGACTGGAAAGTCACACTGACTGGATCTCCTATCAAGAGACAAACTCCTACTCAGGGCCCAGCGTTTATTTCCTTCCCCCAAAGCCCTGGGAAATGTAGTTCCAGGGCCCCTCCACTTGAGGCAGCCTGCTCACTCCCTTTGAAGAGCCCCCAGAGGGGCCTTCTCCTTGGTGGTCAAGCTCACAGGCAGGGTGTTGGGGCTCCAGACCCTGCAATGGCTTGTCCCTGAGATCTCTCCCAGATCTTCCCTCCTTGGATTCTGCAATGGGGCCAGCTAGTTGGTTTGCTATAAACCACCTCGAGAATGGCAACCGAGCCAGAAAAGCAAGCAAACGTATCCTTGGTACCTTGGCATCCAGAAAGCTGCCCCCTGTAATCCTGGGCAAGAGCGATTGCTCATTCTCTGCCAGGCTTTGCAGAGTTTTGGCTCCCCCATGGTTCCTTGTGGAAGAGTGGCTGCCACTGCGAGGGAGCGGGTCAGGGCTGGGCTGGCTGCTTTTGGAAGGGGTTGCTTTCCTGGGCAAGAGGAAACCAGTGGTTAAACTGCCCTTCTAGCTGAAGGCTGGCCGTTGATAAGCACCAACCCACAGCAACCCCATTCTGAAGGAAGAGGGCAGGGGAAGGCTGATAATGGGCGGAGGGGCAGGAAGAAAGAGGCAAGAATCCGCCCCGCCCCCCCAATATTGCAATGGCGCCTCTAACCTTGGCCTCCTCCATCCGCCGCTCCTTGGGAACGTACAAAGTTAATGGCGGCAGGGTGTTATGAGACAGAACAGGAGCACAAGCAGCCTCCTTTGGTGGTCAGCCAAGCAAAAGCCTGGCCAGGAGCCACTTGGTCACTTTGTCCCTGAGGCCAGGCGATCACAACCTGAGCTTCTACCAGTAAGGATTCGCTACTGGTCTCCGTACAGACTCTGATGCACCTGCACACCCCACCTTGGCAAGGTGGGCCCCACCCAGCCTTTCACCCACACAAGTGCAACAAATTTACCTTGCTTTGCCACGGTAGATCAGGATAAGGATGCAGACTAAGATGCACACCAGGGCAATGGAGACACCTGCAATGATGCCCGTCATTGACCTCTGGTCCAACTGGTAAGAGCCAGAACGAGCTGCAACAAGGAAACAGGCCTTTCTATCCCAGGGGCCTCGGTGGGACACCCACCGCAAGAAAGCCCACCCCAGAGAGAGGAGGGCCCTGGTAGCCAGGGAGCAGAGGGTCTGTGCGATGCATGCAGGCTGGGCCAGGGGCTCACTTGTGCCAGCCTCTGCGGAATCCAGGCGTTTGGGTCTTGGGTTTGCCTCCGAGGGCTCCTTTGGCAGGACCGCAAGTTCCACAGCGCTAGAAAAAGGCCCTTCGCCCACTTCGTTGGACGCAGCAAGTTTGATGAGGTAGACACTTCCCACCCTGAGGTTCTCTAGTAAAGCCATGGTGATTGTTCCTGCAGGGAGGGAAGAGAGAAGAGGAGGCGCCAACCCTTTCCGTCTCCTTGGATAGCCAGGGTCAAACTGCCTGTTGCCTGGCACCACCACCACCACCACCACCCCGCCCAATTCTGCTCCTGAGGCTCTTCCTGAGATTTTGCATCTTGCGGCCTCCCTGTGAGATCTATGACTGGCCAAGATGACATCACGTTACGGAGTGGCAGCTAAACCACCCTTATTAGCACAGCCTGACTCCTCTTAGGAGGAGGGCCTTGCAAGCTCTGCAAACAAATGCCAAGGTTTTCCTTGTGCTTCAGATCATCCCTTGAAGCCACTGGCCCAGCAGATCAGGGTTGCTGCCTCCAGGGCAACACAGGTTGGGGGAAAGTGGAAGGGCACCAATCTTGGCACCCAGAGCCTGCAGGCTCCCACTCACCTTCCCGATGCAGGACATGCCACTCGCCCGCGACCCAAGCTTTCCTGGAGGTGTACAGAATGGTGTAACGGGAGACAAGGGTTCTGATGCCAGCTGGTGGCTTCCAGGAGACCAAGGCTGTGTCTTCCTCAATCAGTGTTGCCTTCACTTCCAGGGGTGGACCAGCTGGGGCTGTGGGCACAAGTAGGCTGTCAGTGGAGGCCTCTGGAGCTCCAGAGGCCTCGCCTGGTGGAGTCCGAGAGGCTCCCCAGGGGCGGAAGTAGATTCTCAGTCAATGAGCACCAGGCAGCCGTCTCCTCCTCACCTTCGGGGAGGGTGGTGTGGTAAAGCACTGGACTCCATGGGCTGGAGAGCTGATCCACATGCAGCCGAACGGCAAACTCGTACTTGGTGTTTGGCTCCAGTCCTTGGACCATCAGGTGAGTCTCTGACCTGGACAGAAGGAACCGGTTAGCAGGAGATCCCTGCCTGCTGCCTTTTGCAACCCCTGCAGCAGAGAGGAGGCAGCACTGGACTCGCCCTTCTTCCCAGTCAGGACCCAGGGTTGCCTCTCTGCCTGGATTGAGGCGGTAGGGCCTGGCCGGCGGCACTTCCCTCGCACAAAGCCTCCAATCCCCACAAAAGGCCTTGGCCCGATTCCAGTCTCCCCACTGAGAGAAGGCCAAGCAGGAGATCTTCCAACTTCAATACAGGATCACCAGGAGAAAAACAGCCAGCCCCCAGGCCTCAAAAGCAGACACGGAAAAGGCCTGCCTAGTGCAGGAGCCACCGCAAAGGCCGATTCTGCCTTGTGTGGATGGGAGAGGTCCTGGCCTCCCAGGGGAGCAGGTGGAGCAGGTGAAGAAGGCCACGTACGTTTGAAGGTAGAGCACCAAAGAAGCATTCTGCAGCCCCACAGGGTGACAGCGGAGAGTGTAGTTGATGGCCTGGGCTGACGTGAAGGCCGGCCGGCCCCAGTGCAAGAAGACCGAGGAGGAAGAGTTTGCCTTGGCGTAAAGATGGTGGGGGGGTGGAGGGGGTGGCACCAGGCGGTCCCGAACAGCTGCAAAGAGAGGAGGCGGCCTAAGCGTGAGGGAACCGCTTTTGAGGGGCAACAGTGACCGAAGGCCTAGCATCAGAAGTCTAATCGGCCAAGAGGACCTCAAGTCAAGCGGCACTTTCTCCGGCTCTAAGCAGCCAAGACCCCCTGCCATAAATGGCTTTCCTCCCCCCAACTGCCTTTTCTTTAGGCCCCTGTAAATTATACCAGGGACTTGGAGCTAAGGATCAGGAGGGAAAAGCTTCAAACCAACCTCCATTGTTCTGAACCCACATTGTCCTTTTCGGGGACTTTACATTATTCACATAATTCAAAGAGCTTCTGGACGTGCCACAATTACAGCAGAAAAACAAGCGGGAGACTCACACACGCAGCCGGGGGTGCTGACAGTCTGGTCTGCCTCGTAGCCTTCCTCCAGGCTGTTGTAGGCCAGCAGCCTGACGTGGTACTTCCTCCTGGGGTCTGGACAAGGTTGGAGAACAGTTGCTTAACACAGCGGGACCCAGCCACATCCTGATCCTCAGCCAGCGTCCAGCGTGGCCTCCTCCCACCTGGTGCTCTTGGCACCCCAGAATTGCAGCCGGCATGGCCTGATTAGAGAGTCCTCCCCCCCCCCCCCCTTCCTCCAGCCACAGCCCCAAATTTGCCCCTTGGACTCATTCCTGCTCTTGATCATGTCTGGCTGCTCCAGAGGCCCTGCACGAGGACCGCACAAGCTACAGCAATGCATCCACCCAACTGGGAGGGAGCCGGATGTTCCCACCCCCTGGAACATAGCTGAGGGCCCAAACTCTCCCTCCCCTGAATCTCCTAACCAGGAGGACTTAGCTGCAGCCTTACAAGAGGTGGAGCTTTGATGCTCCACAGCCCTGCGGTTACCACCCCTCCTTCAGAAGCCCCATCACTGAACCCCTGGGCTATGGGCAAGCTGTCAAGGAAACTGAGTCCACCTCCCCACCCCCCCCCCCCCACCCCCATCTATCTACTAATCTCCAGCCAGCCTCTTCCCACAGCAGGACACCAGAGGGGGCCCTTCCCCTGCTCTGAAGAAGGGGTGGCACAACGTGGCCATCAAGACTGTCCAGCCAACCAAGGCAGGAGCGTCTCTGTTCAGCACCAGTTTGGCTCCCTTGGTAGAAACAGGGGAACAAGACCGTTTGCCTGGGGTGTGTGTGTGTGTGTGTCTTCAGAGACTCTTCCTTTGAAGGGAAGCACCCCAGACCCCCCCCCCCCAAGCCCCCCCTTTCTTTCAGCTGCTGTTCTGAGAGCCTCCAAAGAGGCCCGGAATGAGGCCAGAGGTTAGGACTAGATAAAACAAAGGAGGAATCCGAGGTCAACCTAAGCAACCCTTTGAGGTAGGCAGGTCAGATGGGGCAAGGACTGCAGAGCTGCTGCCCGATTAGGCTGTCCAGCAAGAGGCAATTCAAGGCCCACCAGAGTTTTCTCCGTGCAGAGACGGGGAGGGGTCCTCCCCCCCCTCCCGCCTGAGATTTCATTCCCCTTTTCCAGTTCTTTTGCTGTCTCTGCCTCCTTCTGCAAAGGATGGGCAGGAGGCCATGTTTTATTAGCTGGATCTTTTTAAAAACTATTGGAAGGCAATTGTCAAAGCTATGCCCATGGGGGTGAGGGCAGTTAGCAAAGAGGCTGGGCCAAAATTCGCAGGGCTCCATAGGACAGCCCAGACCCTTTTGTCCCTGGGTAAGAATCAGCCTCAGGAGCAGCCCTGCTTCTGCCCCCCCCCCCGCCCCCCCGGCCGGTCTTTGGGACAAATGACAAAGTTCAGCCAAGGAAAATGGCCAACGTTCTTGCTGGGATTTGAGAGCTGCTGAGCCTTTCAGGGTAAGAGGCCCAGGGGCCCCCACCCAATGTCCACTTTAGACTTTTGTCTTTCTGTCAGCCATTGTTGAGCCCCCAAGACAATCCCCTCCTCCAACCGCACAATAAACTCCAGATAATCATTCAAGGAGAGGCCGGCAGGCAGGCTGCTCTGACATCTGGGTCGTGGCCTCTGACCCGGGTCCTGGGGCTCCCCCAAGCCTGCTCCCAGCAACCGTTGCCTGGGGAGGGGGAAGGGTGGGAACAGCCCGGCAGAGGGAAACCTGACTCTCCGAGGGGGTGCGGGGGGGGGGGAAGGGAAAACAGGACCCACCCCACCCCAACAGGGTCCAGCTACGGAGGGGGGCAGGAGGGGAGAAGAGCTCTGCAGGCACTGCTGACTCCAACAGAAAAAGACATTTTACAGACACACACAGAGAGAACATGGACGGATGTAAAATAAGATGACAAAGCATAAAGGATCCCCCCCACCCCCCCCCCCCCGCTGAGCTGGCAGTGCCTCCTCCCTCGCCTGCCTTCCCCACCTCCAGGACCGATCTCTGAGCTTCCTAGGAGGATAGGATCTGGCCCAGGGAAGGCTGGATTCTTGCTGCTGCCCCTCCCTCCCCGTGCTGGGCTGGGTTCTTCCACAGGAAGGGGCAGAAGAGAAGGGCGCCCCTGTTTCTGGGCTCCAATGCCATGGTTTCCTTCCCCAAGCTTTGCTTCTCACGCCAGGGCAACCGAGGGCCTCCTCGTTCCCCTTGGTGGGATCAGCCCTGGCCACACAGGGCGCCCTAGCCATGCAATGCGTCCCTCACTCTGGGCAGCCAAGAGCTTCCAGTGTGATGGCCAACCGATGCTCCGCCCATGCAAAGAGGTTCCTCTTGTCTCCCAAAAGCAGAAGGGAGGCTCTGGTCCCCACCACGCCACACCCCGTCTCCCTTGCTCTACCTCTCTCCTGCTCCGCCCAGCTGGCCTTTGCCCTTCCCCAGTTTCCTCCACAGCCACTGGAGCCACACTCCCGCTCCCTGTCAGCTGCTCAGCCTCCCCCTCCGAATCAGATTCGCACAGGGGCACGACAGTGCCTCCATCTTCCCTGGATCAAATGCTCCCCATGGGAAGGATGGCTTTCAGTCCCACAACAATAAAAATGTGCTGAACAGAAGAGAGCCTCCCCCCTTCCAGAGATCACTCTGATCTGGTGAGCACTTTCCCTAGGAAATTGATTGTGTTACACTTGTGAAATGGGTGGTACAGAAACACTAAACAAAGCAGCACGGAGTCCTTCTGGCTGCCCTCAAATGCCCAACATGCCCCGAGAGGCGAAATCATGGCCTGTAGCAGGCTAGCCAACAGTTATTTCAGCAAACCAGTTTGATAGGATGTCCAAACTGGGAAATGCTAGACTGCCCCTCCTCCAGTGCCCAGCAGCTCCAGAGAATTGGAAGTTCCCACCATGGGGATCAGCTTGGGTGAACACTGAAGAAAAGTAGCGCACAACCCCAAGCCTCCTTAGAGGCTGGAGGAGGAGGAGGAGGAGAAGAAAAGAGACAAGCCAGACTTCCCCAAAGCAGCCTGGGCCTCACGTCCGCCTCCCCTCCCCTGCTCTGCCACGGCCCCTTCCTCCCTTTTGTTGGTGTTCATCCCCCGCTTTGTAAGATGAGACCAGGGCCTCCTACAGCTCACCTCTCCCAACACCATTCAGATGAAATTACACAGTGAGAGGAGTGGGACAGGGGGAAGGAGCACCAGCCCCCCAGGCTGACCGGAGGGGGCACGGTCATCTTAAAGCACCTGGTGGAGGAGGGGAAGGCTGACCATTTTCGCAGCTTAGTTGCAATAACTATATAGAAATATAGGAAAGTGACCCCAAAACAGTTCCAGAATGCCTGAGGCTACATACAGCTAAGAATCTGCTGTGTTGCCCACCTCTAACCATCTCCCAGGAAGGGCCCCACAGGAGGGGGAACAGCCCTCACTGGCTGCCCACTAAAACGGAAGCCCTTGTTTCAACACCCAGCTGCATAAACCAGCACTGGGGTGGGGGATTCCTGCAAAGCACAGAGGTTCAGGTGAGCTCTGCAAACTGTCATTGAAAGGAGAAGGCAAGAAGTGTGCAGCACACACACACACACACACACACACACACACACACACACACACACAC